GAATGCATGTATGTGTGTGTATGTTGCATGTATGTATGTGTATGTATATCTCTGTGTTATATGTGTTTGTGGGTATACACATGCCTGTAGTAATTTAATCTATATTAATTTTGCAGTCTGTGCAAAGATTCACACACCTCCCTTTGAAGTCCACAGGGTTCATTCTAACCTTCTGTGTTTTCATATTTGTAATTCCATTTTCTTTGTTTTTTTAAAATTTTATTCTATTTATTTATTTTTGGCTGTGTTGGGTCTTCGCTCCCGTGTGTGGGCCCTCTCCAGCTGCGGCGAGCGGGGGCCACTGCTCGCTGTGGCGTGCGTGCCTCTCACTGCGGTGGCCTCTCCTGCTGCAGAGCACGAACTATAGGCACACAGGCTTCAGCAGTTGTGGTGCACGGGCTCAGTAGTTGTGGCTTGCGGGCTCCAGAGTGCAGCCTCAGTAGTTGTGGTGCATGGGCCTAGCAGCTCCGTGGCATGTGGGATCCTCGTGGACAAGGGCTCGAACCCACGTCCCCTGCATAGGCTGGCGGACTCCCAACCACTGTGCCACTAAGGAAGCCCCCTGTAATTCCATTTTCTGAGAGTAAGAAATGTGGCTCCCGTTATTATCAATTTACTTATTTGTTCATTTTTCCCCCTGTATGTAATGAGTTGCATTTTTGATCCCATTGGTGCAGGCCTATCAAGCTTAGCCATGCTTTTGGCTATGAGTTCTTCCTTGGTCCCAATAAGTTCCTTTGGTCCAGGCTTCAGCTGCCAAATGAAAATGAAAGGAAGAGAAAACAAATGATCTTTTTTTACAAGTAAAAGGAAAGACAGAGGAATCCTACCATTTAAAAAATATTTGAACCTATCTACAGTGTCAGAGCATATTATTACTACATACTATGTGCTCTCTTTTAATTGTAGTTCAGTTTTAACTCAGTAGGTCACTGTACATTTAATGTTCACCATCAGTCCTTATGTCATTGTATGTCTAATTTTGGATTTCTAAAGCCTGTTCTCTAGTAGATTTCTAGGAAGGCCTTGTGGGAACTATGCTCCCTAAGTTCTGGAATGTGGAAAACAGTTCAGCTGTGGGTCTTAATGCTTGAAGTTAGTGAGGGATACAAAATCCTTGATTCAAATTTTCTTTCTTTGGGTATCTAAATATATATTTCTATTGTTTTATGCAAGTACTACTGATGAGCAAAGTCTGATGACAATCTGATTTTCTTTATAAGAGAATAAGCCATTTGATCTTTTTGACTAGATGCTCAATTAATTTTACTAGAGTATATCTTTATGTTGGTTTTTCTGGGTCAGTATTCTTAGGTACATGATTGGCCCTTTCATTATGTGGTTTCAGATGTTTTTATTTTTGTATCAGAAAAGTTTTCTCCAATTATTGTTATATTGGTTTAATTTCCTTTATTTTTCTTCTTCAGGACTCATTATATGTATGTTGGATCTTCTTTAACTATCTTTGATATTTGCCATTTTCTTTCTAATTTTTTGCCTTTTTCATTTGTTTTAGTTAAAAAATTGTACTTTTTATGTTCTCTTTCATTTACACAGCAGTTCTGTTGTGTTTATTAACTCTTTGTTTCTTCTAGTTTAATTCTTCTTTTTTGAATTGATTTTTCCATTTCTTTTTTTTTTGTCTCCTGAGTTTTGTCACCTAAGCTATGGGTAGATAATTTGGGGGGGTTTAATTCTAATTTATCTTGTTCTTTTGTATTGTGAATAATTTTTAAAAGTCTTTTCAGCTTGTTTTGAAATAGTAGGTTATAGTGTTTACCTATTTTGTTGGCAAGTCTTTGTGGTGTGCTTTCATTGTGTTCAGAGATTTATCCTGTTCTTTTTTTTTTTAATGTAACTTTGTATCAGATTTCACTTCTATCATTTTCTTTTATTCATTTTTATGTGAAGCTAGTTAGCCTTTCTAAATACACAGAGATCCTCTCCAGTTTCTGTGTAATGTTTGAAAGTACATCACCTTGCTATATAAGATCTCCTCACTCCTTTCTCCTTCCCCACTTTATCTGGAATTTCGCTTTTCTTTTTTTTCTATTGCCTCTCGTCTCTTCAGTTTGGATCCTGTTCCCAGCAGTTTCTCCTTGGTGTGACTTTGTTCTGGAGGAGAGCTTTGACTGATTAGTTTTGAGAATTGTAGTGACTGGATGCCCTTAAGAGTTTATTGTGAACCCTTTCAATCATATGCTATTGTAGTGAGCAAAACCCATTACTTTTAATTCACTTTTCTCATTTTCACCTGCTCTGCTTCATAGAGAGTCCCTGTTGGCTATTTTGCAGTTATTTTGTTCTGTGGACTGGTAAAATGCCCTGTTACTGTCCTCTGCTTTTTCCTGCACAGATGATACTACCCACATAGATCTTGTAGCTATTGGTGGCTTGTCCCCACCTTCTTGTATTTTGGGATTTTGTACATGAGGTTTTGATTTTGCTGTCTAATTGCTCTAATTTATGAGGTTTAAAATGTAAGCTGTTGTCTTCCCAGAATTTCCACAAAATTTTTCATATTAAAAAGTTGCGAACTACTATCCCCTAGACCGTGCTGGCTTCTGCTCTCAAGGTTAATGTGATTGCATTAAATATGAACTAAACTATAGTTAAAAATTAACTATATGTTATTCTTATATTGTTAATAACTACTAGATTGGTGTCTAATTAAGAGCCTTTCTGTACCATCTACAGCTAGATTGTTATAAAAACTGAATATCGTATGTCTTTGGTGACCTCTTGAATGCATTAGCTAGGAAAAAGATATGGAAGAAATTTCTCATATGTAAAATATTAAGAATAATTATCAGGAGTTCCCTGGTGGTCTAGTGGTTAGGATTCAGCAGTTTCACTGCTGTGGCCTGGGTTTAGTCTTTTGTCAGGGAACTGAGATCCCACAAGCCGTGTGGCAATGACAATGCTGGATTTTAAAATATGTATATATAACAGCTTTACTGAGATGTAACTCACATACCTTACAATTCATTCAATTAAAGTATACCATTCAGTGGGTTCACAGAGTTGTGCAACCATAACAGCAATTAATTTTAGAACATTTTCTTCATCACAGAAAGAAACCTCATACTCACTAGCAATGACTCCTCATTTCTCCCCAATTCTATTCTTCTCTCCCCAGTAACCCTTGGCAACAACTGATCTTTCTGTCTCTGTAGATTTGCCTATTCTATACATTCCATATAAATGGAATCATACAATATGTGGTCTTTTGTGACTGGCTTTTTTCACTTAGCATGTTTTCAAGGTTCATCCATGTTGTAGCATATATCAATACTTCATTTTTTAAATTGTCAAATAATATTCCATTATATGGACATATCACATTTTATTTATCTGTTCATAATTTGATGGACATTTCAATTGTTTCAACTTTTTTCTATTATGAGCAATACTCTTATGAACATTTGTGAACCAGTTTTTGTATACATGTATGTTTTCATTTCTCTTGGGTATACACCCAGGGATAAGATTGTTGGGTCAAATAGTAACTATATGTTTAATCTTTTAAAGAACTACCAGGTGATTTTTCAAAGTGGACATAGCATTTTACATTACCATCAGCAATGTATAAGGGTTCCCATTTTTCCATATTCTTGCCAACACTTGTTATTGTCCATCTTGTTGATGATAGTCATCCTAGTGGATGTAAAGTGGTATCTCATTGTAGTTTTAATTTTCATTTGCCTAGTGGATATCGTTGCGCAACTTTTCATGTACTTATTGATCACTTGTATATCTATTTTGGAGAATGTCTATTCAGATCCTTTACCCATTTTTAGTTGAGTTTTTGGTCCTTTTACTATTGAATTGTAAGAATCCTTTATATATTCTAGATATATGTCTCTTTCAGATATATGATTTTGTAAATATTTTTTCACATTCTGTGGATTGTCTTTTTACTTTATTGATGATATTCTCTGAGGGGCAAAAGTTTTCAATTTTGATAAGGTCCAGTTTCTCTGTTTTTTCTTTTGCCACTTAATTTGTCAAATCTAAGAATTTTGGACTAAATCAAAGTCACAAAGATCTACTCCTATAGTTTCTTCTAAGAGTTTTATAGTTTTAGCTCTTACATATAGGTGTGTGATCTATTTTGAGTTAATTTTTGTGTATGGTGTGAAGAACGGGTCCAGATTCATTGTTTTTCATATAGCTCTCCAGTTGTGCCAGCACCATTTGATGACCCACAAAATCTGATATGTAGTATGTTCATTTTTCTTCAATTCCATTTTCTTGTTTATATTATGATTGTTTCTCTGATACATGAGTTTTTCTAGACTCTTCTCCTTTCCAACCCATTTGTGATCTAGTTACATTTTTGTAATTGATTTCTCACTTAAATGCATTTTGCTCAGAGATTGTAGTATATTATAATACTAATTATTTGAGATTTGAAGAGGATAATATTATGGTCTAGTTATAACGTAGTCAATTTTCATTCCTTGTGTGCCTGTAAAGAATGAATATTCACATTTGTTGGGTATAATTACTTTATGTTTCTTAGATCAAACTTGATAAATTAGAAGTTTATGTCATTTGTATCCTTAGTAATTATTTAATCGACCCAGTGTCAGCTTTGGATTAAAAGTGTGTTAAAATCTTTTACTGTCAAGGTGGGTTTCTCTGTTTTTTCCTTTTAGTTCTGTTGATTTTATTTTTTCAATGTTTAGTTTTAACTCATTGTGGGAAGTTTCAAGCATACCCAAAAGGAGAGAGAATAGTTTAATCAGTCCCTCCCACCCTCCCATCTTTAATCATTATGAATATACATGGCCATTCTTATTTCATATATTCTCTCTACCCTCTTCTGTGCCTCTCCAGTATTTTCTAGGAGATCCTAGACATATACTGTTGCTTTATGGACTCAGTTTAGATTTACTCACACATTACCACAGTGTTTGCTCCACAGTATTTGGACCTCATGATGTCCATTCCCTTTTACATCTCAGCCTGTCTGCAAGCATTTTCCTTTTGTTCAAAATATGTATTTTAAGTATCTTCTAGTGAAATCTTGGTGGTAAATTTTCTCAGTTTTTGTTTGTTTGAAAATGTTTTTATTTTAATCTTATCTAATTTTCAGAAAATTAGTGCAGAACTCAAGTTGACAGTTATTCTCCCTAAGTATTTTGAAGATATTACTCACTTAGCTGCCATTGTTGCTGCTGAGAAATAAATAGGAAGTCTAATTTCTGTTTCTTTTTAGGTAATCTCATTGGCTACTTTAAGGACTATCTTTTTCTTTGGTATTCTGCAGTTTCACCATGATGTGACAAATAAAAGTATGTCATAAGTTATTGGATGATAGTAATTTTGAGTTACTAACATTAAACTTCTTAATATTCTACTTCTAAATGGTGATCAGTAGTCTGTCAACAGCTAAGTACATAAGGGAATGCTTGCTATTTATTTTAAAAGACCCTATGGTGTATCTTTCTGAAGTACACAATTTGTCAGCTTTATAACTTTTTTCTCAAGACCATGTGTATGTAAACAGAGATAGTATGCTTTCTGTATCTTTCCACAGCGCTATTGGAAATAATTATGAAAAATGGAAGCACTGCTGGAAATAGCCCTCATTGCCGAAAACCATCAGGTAGTAGTGATCAAAGCAAGCCTAACTGCACAAAGGACAGCTACTCTGGTAGTGGTGAAAGTGGAAAAGGCTACACCAAAGACCAAGTAGATGGAGTTCTCAGGTAGGAATAAATAACTTATGTGTCCATTATAACTGATATTAATATAAGTTTAATGTCGTAACACCTAAAAAATGGGTTTGGATTATAATTCAGTAGCAGAACAGACATTGAGGAATTGAACTCTGGGTGTCTTATGCTTTATATTCTTTATGAAATCAGTCTGTAAATTACCAACTCTGGAAGTTTCCATCTTTTAAAGTAACTATAAGCCACAAAGCTACTTACAGAAAGAAATTTTTTGAGGCAGATTGTTTCAATTTTTGACACAGTACAGTGTTTAGATAACAATATTGAAACAGGATAAAGAATTGTTTTGTCATATGTATATATATATGAAAGCAGGAGAATTTCATATGAGAAGAAGATTGAGGGCAACTGCAGCAGCATTTTCAATTTCCTACTTATATTAATGAAGGATAGTTTTTTTTTCTGTTTATATTCTTTCTTTAAGGCTATCTTTATACATATGCAAACACTATAACGTCCTCTCCTTTTAATATTTTTCTTACTCTGATCATTCTGTCTGTGTTTTAGTTTTACTTCATGATACACTTCTACTTAAAGCAGAAGAATTAGGTAGAATTGGAAAATTATAAACTGGGTTTTGGAGATTGACTTTATTAATTTTATAATTAAGAAAAGATTTTCTGGAAAAAAAATGAACTTCTGAGTATGAAACACTAGAGAAAATACTGTTATGGTCTCCTGCTGTAGCTTAAGGAAACTGTATTGATGTTGTACTGAAATTGCTATCTAAGGAAACTAAAGTATAAGGATGAAGGACTCTGAACAGTGATTAATCAGATAATTCAACATAGAGAGTGCATAGCACAGTGAACTAGCTTAAGCGAAAAGTAGGTAACGCTAGTTTTCTTTCTCTTTTGCCCTTTCTTACCTATTTCTCTTTTAATCTTATTTTCTTTCTTTTTTCACCTTTTTTTCCCCATTCTTATTTTTAGTTAATTCTTTTTTACTCACCATAATTTTGAATTGAAGTTATTTTTAAATCAAGTATCAATGTATTCATATTTTGCTTTTCTTCATATATATTCAGATGCTAAAGCTTGAATGTAACATTTTATCTGTGTGACCACAATAAGAAACAAAGACTCCATAATCATGGTAAAGGATATTTGGTTAGCCTGAATGGTAGTGAAGTACTTTGAGAATTATAAATAATCTTGCTAATGACTTTTATAACAGTAGTATTGTGTCAGAGGTGGCTGAATAAGTGAGATAAGTGAATAAATGAGATCCTTGCTTTTGAATTTCTTTAAGAAAAACCTTTAATTAAACAGTTTGCTGAAATGTGTTTCAGGAAACCACATCTCTCCAAAAACAAATTTTATTTTCTTGTAGAAATTACTTTTTACTGGGAGAACTTGTTCTCAGTAAAAGACCTAAATAGAGTGAATTGTGTGAAAGATGAAAGATGATAGTGGGTGCAGATCCCCTTTGTATATGGCCAGAATTGGACAGATGGGAATAAAATGTTGAGGGAGTTCCTGTCTTTTGGGTCTGTGTACTCTATGAAATTGGAGATGAAGTTATCCTCTGACAGTTAGAAGAAAAGAGATGAGATTGAAAGGTTGAGAAGAGTGGTAAAGGTATAGAATATTTGCAGAGGGGAAAGGCAGGTGGAATGGGAGGATTGCTGGCTAGCACTGTGGACCCAGCCAAGTTTGATACTGAATTTTTATGGAGTACAAGTGTTAGCTGAGTAGCATACCTGTATTAGAGATTGTTTCTCTTATCAATAATTTTAGCATACCTTTTTTAAATTAAATAAATGAAGTTTTTGTCCTTTGGGGATAAATATGATCAGAACATTCTTTAATAGAACCCCTAAGTTATTCAAAGTATCTCTCTTGGTACCTTATACTGAATAAGAGTTGCTTAGCTAATCATGTAACACTTACTCGTTATATTAGCCTTTGTAAGTGTCGCTTTAGTGAGGTAACAGATCACCAGCAAACACTTACATGCTGTATGTTTTTGTTTTTGTTTTACCTATACACAGGGGATTTTTCTGAAGAAAGCCATGTTATCTTGGTTAGCACGATTATGCAAACAAGTTGCCCAGTGACAGTTTGGCTCAATGGGAGAAGCCATGCAATAATACTGCATCCATTGCATAAGTAAGAGCTAGGTTACAGTAAGACTGAAGAAAAAGTGTGTAACTTTGTAAAAACTCATATTCTGTGAAACTAAGCACTGTTTGTTGTCTTTGCATTGAAATATATTGAAAAATTACAGAGCAAAAGGTGTCCTGGATCTAATTTAAAGAGACTTTTAATATCTCATAGAAAAAAAGCCCATCTTTTATTTTAAAAATTTACAAGATCAGTGAGAAATCATTAACTGGCCATCATTATATTTATCAATTAGGAACACTTCTGTATAACTGTTAAAATTATTTGAATTATGGGGATTTCATTAGGATTGGATTTAAGCTGTAGTTCTTTAAATGAAAAGAAAATAAACCACTGTGCTAAATTTATAAAATAAATAATCCTTTGTCTCAGGAGTAAAGAATTATTTTCCTAAACACCAATTAAATTTGAAGTTTATTTAAAAATCATCTATAATATATGAAAAAAAGAATAGAAAGAGACCCCTCCTTCCACAGCCAGAATGCTTTCTCACACATAAAGGAAGACATAAAAGTTGAGCCATGCATACATCTCCCCTGTTGAGCTCCCAGACATATCTTTCTGGCCTTTTTGCACAATATTTTCTTCCAAGGCAGGTAATAGATTACCTCTTTTTTCTTTTCTTTTTTCTTCCTTCCTTCCTTCCTTCCTTCCTTCTTTCCTTCCTTCCTTCCTTCCTTCCTTCCTTCCTTCCTTTTTTTATTCTTTGGTGAGGATGGTGAAGAAGATTTGAATCTTTCAGTAAGGAGCGAACTATAAAAAAATGTGACAAATGCAGTTAGTTGGTGAAAAGGAGTATAATGAACAATATATAGAATAAAATTAATTTGTGAATGATAATTTCTCATTTAGGTGTGAAAAATTAAGTAAATGAGTATATTTGTAGCGTTACTTGAGATACGTACTGTACAGCTTGTCCATTGGTAATGTTGACTTTATACCTCTCTGCTAGCTTCTCAAAGAATTTCTTCTCTAATATATGATGAAAAATTCAGTGCAAGGAAGATATGGTAGAGCTAGATACGGCTAAGAGTTAGTGAAATAATTGTTTTTCCTACCTTTTTTCTCTTTGTGACAGTACTTAGCTTTATGACCCATCTCTAGAAGACTGGTGAATCTCTAGAAGGTGAATTCCAACCTAATTTCCCTATACTATCCAGCAGCCCTCTCCTAGACTGCCTTTTTCTATTGCCTAGCCTTTTGTGCTCAGGAAATAATCAACAAAATAATTTTATAGGATTAATCTGGTACATAAGGAAACATCTGACGCATTCAAAGCAAGTAGTAATGACTTTAGGATTTTCCAGTGTTTTGTTTATCACTGCCTTTTGTCTTTTGTGTTCAAATAGTGTCTGTCATATTTTTAGCTCTGGTCCTTGTCCCACAGTCTTCTATTCCAAATTGATTTTTTGGTGCCAACTATATTTTTCTTACAGCACTTTACTATCTTTGGTCCAAAAATGACTTTTAGGTCTTCACCATTTCTGCCCTCAAATTGTACTAGTCATCCATCCATTCAACACATACGGTGAACAAGACACAATCCCTGCCTTCAAGGGGCCTAATAGTCTGGAAAAGTAGGCAAACCTGTAAACTGATAGCTGTGGTACATTTAAGATAATTGCTGGGATAGGGCTAAGTTCAGAGAGCTTTGGGAGAATATAAGAGGGTCACCAAACTTAGTCTTGAGGAATCTGAGTTCTTGAGAAAAGGAAGAGCTCAGCTGAGGTCTGAAGACGTTGTAGAAACTAACTAAACAAGAAGAGAGGCAGAGAAGGCATGTTTGGGGCACCAAAACCAACAGAGAATCTGTTTAAACACCGATTAGAAGAGCAAATAGAAGGAAGTGGATGGTTGGTCTGGAGTCTGAATGGGCTCCTTTTCTTCTTTATTCTGATTCTGAGACAGCAGGATTTTCAAGTCAGACAAACTGAGGATTGAAGCTTCACTTGTGAGGCCTTTCCTAATCGCCCTATTTAAAATAGCAGGCCTCTCTTTCCATTCACTCTTTCCCTTTGCCACTTCATTTTTCTCTAAATATATATCACCATATGATGTCATATGATGTACTTCGTATTTTACTTCTATATTTGTTAATTGCTTATCTCTCTCCCAATTGTAAGTTTAATGTGAGGAGGGAATTTTTGACTGCTTTATTTACCACTATAGTGTCTGAAACAGCATCTAGCAGAAAGTGGATATTTAGTAAATTTTTGTTGAAGAAATAAATTCTGGTTTGCACCTGTTACTTGGTTATATGACATTTGGCAATTTACATAACCACTCGAAGCCTTGATTTCCTCATTGGTTAAATAGGAACAATATCTACCTAATGAGGAGTAAATGAGATAATTTGTATAAAATAATCAGCATAATAAGATTCTACGATTCTTTACGTGAAATTTTTGTGGACCAGATGTAGTTTGGAACTCGAGATCTTCATATTTTCGAAAAGTAATAAGGAGCATATGTTATAGATTACATAATGTCTTAGCAGGGTCTGGTAAGCAGCCCTAACCTAATAGTGCCATTTCTGCAGCAAAAGGTACAAACATCACACTTGAATGTGATAAATGAAGACTCTATAGCAGCTTCACATCAGTTCAGTTTTGCCTTTGAAATTTTGCCTCTGAAAGTTTCCAAGTCAGGTTTTTGCAGTCAAGTTAGTTATAGAATAACTTCCATTTTTCAGAACTTTATGGATGTTGGAACATGGATATGGGGTTGTGGATATGTGCCTGACACACAGTAGGTGTTCCGTACATGTCATTCTTCTCTTTTTTTCTATCACATAGTTTCTTAACATATCTAGGAGAATGAGTCTCTACACAGGCAGTGATCGTTCTCTGTTTTGTTCTCTAACAGATCTCAAGTGCCCTGGGACGTAGTTCATGCTCAATAAATATTATTGAATAAATAAAGGAAATGTCATGTTTACGAAATAATATTGACTTGTGTTCATATTTATTAAGTATCTAAAGTAGAAAAATCTAATTTTAATTATTATTACTCTGAAGAAGACTGCCTAACAGATTTTTGTTGTGATTATTAAAAAATTCTATAATATTTTCAGTGTGTTCTTTTTTTCCCCTTGTTCATATAACAAATGATGAATGCTTTCATTATGAAAGGAGAGCTAAGGTTCATTTATTCCATAAATATTTACTGAGAACCCATCATGTACCAAGCACTGTGATGGCTAATAGGTTTAGTAGCGAAATACGATCAATCTTTTCTCTTTTCTCTGAAAATTTCAAGTCAGCCTTTGCAGTTCTTTAGCTGTCAGGGAACAATTGTGCCTCAGATCCTTTTACTTCTTACTACTTCTGTCATCAAGGCTCTCATACATGGAACACATTTAAAGTTATATAGTACTCAACAAAAAATATTTAAAATGTAGCTGTATTTTAGTGAAGAAAAATTTTTAGGCCATGGGACAATGTTAGCATACAAAAGGATTAGTATTCTCTGCTTCATTCAGAGTATTTCTTTTCCTAACATACTTCAAAGACTCTGGGCTTAAATGTTGCATGTTTAGGGTTATAAACATGTAAGTAATCATTAAGAGTATGTTCATCATAATGAAAATCAGGTGTAACAAATATTTTTGAGTCCATGATGTATTTTATTATGAGATTGTATCTTTCATAGAGACTGACACAAATGAATTCTCTTTATCATTGCCTAGCTGAATTAACTTGCCTTGACATTGAAGCCATAGGGTACTGTAATTGCCTACATGCACTAAACTGTTGCTTTGATATTTGGTTAGGTTACATTATGCAACAATAAAACTCTTGGAATGCAATGCACATTAATCTTTAGCTGTGACATACTTCTGAGGAGTTTTGGAATTTATTTATGCACTTAAGAGTACTATAAAATTGTTCTTACTCTCTCCTTTTAGTTACAGTGTGTGCTCTGTCCTTCATCCACATTTGTTATGAGCTTTGCTTTACTTCTCTGTAGTTGTGATAAATTGCACCAAGGACATTCTTATGGTCAATTCTTCTTAGATTGGGAGAGGTTGGAAAAATGGTCTGTTATTGAAAAAGAGAATGGAGCAATAACCCTTAATGGATAAACTATAACTTGATGTCGAGAAAACAGTCCACAGACAGCTCTTCATACTATTCTAGTAAATAAAAAAATAGAGGTATTACTCGAAGCTCTTCCTTGAAGTTTACTTACAATGTAACACATTCTCTTGTTCACAGCATAAACAAATGTAAAAATTACTATGAAGTACTTGGAGTTACCAAAGATGCTGGTGATGAAGATTTGAAAAAAGCTTATAGAAAGCTTGCTTTGAAGTTTCATCCAGACAAAAACCATGCACCTGGAGCAACAGATGCTTTTAAAAGTAAAGTAAACCTTTTAAAGCAATTTTCTAAGCCCTTTTCAGAATCCATTTTACAGTGTTTTAGAATATTAAATTCTGCCTTTAGACTGGTGCATTTAGAGGCCAGCATAAGCAAGCCTCCTTAAAATCCTTTAAACCTTCACGGTTAACTTGTTATACCAAGAGCCAAACAAATGCTGTTTGGCTTCAACAAAAGCGACATGTCAGTTTTGGCAGAGTTCTAAGTAACTTTTCTAGATACCCGTGCATGCCTTCTAGTTTACTACACGCAAGTAGTGTGATGATTATGCATGAGCTTCTAGCGTGTTACCAGCTGGTTCTAAAAGAACTAAAAGCAATATATTTTTTATGAGTTTTTAAGATATTAGAGACTGTCTAGAATTGAGAAATTACTTGGAATCACTATTTGTCCAGTATTCTTCTATTTCTGTTATCTCTGGCCAATTTTTGCATATTTTATATGTAGTTCTAACTACTGTGATTTTTTTTTCAAGAATGTTTCTTTTCTCTTGGCTAACATTTTCTTCCTTATTATTTCAGTTTTTTTGCCAATTTAGTAAATAAGTGTGAGAGAACTGGTTTTATAATTCATGTTTATTACAATTGATTCATAATAGTCAACTTCTGATTCATAGGGAAATGCTTAAATTTGCGATTATTTGTTCTTGTGAATTTGGCATTCATAAAGCCAATGTATGATGTTTACAGTGAAATGCTGGGGTCTTGGAATAACAGGAAGGAGATAATCATTTTAAATGTTCCTAAAAGATAGATGACTCAATTGTCATTCATAAAAATACTGTTAAAATTGTTTGCAAAACAGTTTTATTTTTTAAAAGAAGTTGGCAAGCAAAATACATTTGGGGATTATTAATATTTTCCAGTAAAAGCAGCTGCGAAAGTGGTGCTGGTGAAAGTAGACTATCTCTGTGACAGTGAGAGCCTTCTCTGTCCCCTTAGATTAAAAGTGGTGTGTTGAAAGCATAGGAAAAGCTGCTTTACTCAAAAACACTAACTTTAGCACATATTCCCCCCCAAAGTTAAAAACCTTTTTTTCACTTTCTGAATTAAAATCGTTTAATTTAAAATTTTTTGTGTTTTTAAGATGTCTAAACACATTTGGCAGTGAGTTATTTGCATGTTTGTGATCTGTTAGACGATTTCAGTATTAATTCTTCATTAATGTTAAGGACATTAAACTGCTTCTTTCTCCCATTTCTGTATTGAAGTCATGTTAGCATTATCGGTCTTAGAATAACAGTAAGTGAACCTACCAATATTTTTACAGCCTGTGTTGTGTTTTGAAGAGGTGAGCAACACATATGTCACCCCACACAGACACTTAGAGGAGTTTAACAAAGGTGATTGTTCTTTGGTGTGGTACATTTCAGAGTCTAATACTACACTTTGCAAAACTAGAAACTTAGTATTTATCAACATGCTTGGCGGTGATTCATCTCTAGAGGAAAGGCGCACATTATTCAATACATAGGGGGTTATTTGTAAGTCAGAATGCCAATTTATTAACTCCAAAGAGGATCATAATAGGGTGGTGGCTGATGAACCCATATTTCATTGAGTGGAAACTACATAGAAAACCAAGATTGTCGGGACTTCCCTGGCAGTCCAGTGGTTAAGACTCCACGCTTCCACTGCAGGGGGCCCGGGTTCGATCCCTGGTCTGTGAATTCCACGTGCCGCGTGGCATGGCTAAAAAAAATAAAGAAAAGCCAGATTGTAAGCCAGAGATGCTTGGTGAGCAAAGGTAGTTAATTAGAAAATATTACTGCTAGTGTGTCAGCACACAGAAATGGCAGGTTTCATTCATTCAACACATAGGACCTTTTCATTACCTTCTGAATCGTCTTATTTTATTTTTAAGCATTTGATCTAAATTTCTGTGTTTGGGATACCAAGCTGTTTATTCTAAGTAAAGACTATAGTTTTTTGTTTATATGAGAGGTGAGTATAGATTTATTGCTCTGTAATTGCCAAAGTACTTTTTACAGAAAATGGAAACCACTTGTTTTTTATATCTTTCAAGAATAGAAAAAGAGGAGATAATTGGTTACGGAATTAAATTAGATAGAAGAGATATTTTCATTTGTGTGTTTTGTAAAACTTTAAAAGTAAAAGTTTACTATCAAAGAGAGTAGACTAGGGGCTTCCCTGGTGGCGCAGTGGTTGAGAGTCCGCCTGCCAATGCAGGGGACGCGGGTTCGTGCCCCGGTCCAGGAGGATCCCACATGCCGCAGAGCGGCTGGGCCCGTGAGCCGTGGCCGCTGAGCCTGCGCGTCCGGAGCCTGTGCTCCGCAGCGGGAGAGGCCACAGCAGTGAGAGGCCCGCGTACCACAAAAAAAAAAAAAAAAGAGAGAGTAGACTAAATGAACTCTTAACTTCATGTAGCTCTTTGTTCTTTAGTTAGGTTTGTGAGTTTCTCAAAGCAGAGAATATTTTATTTACATCTAGACAGTGACTTGCATAGTATGTATAAACGTACCTTAAAAAAATATTTGAATCAAATGGATCCCTTTTCTTCCATCTGATGTGGATATCTTCAAAACATGCCCAGTCTACCTTGACCTTCAAAGACTCCCAAGTATTTCAGAGACTATTTGAATAGTACATGTGCCTGTTTACATATACTTGAATATAATGACAAGGGCATTGATTAGCTGTTTATATGTTTGCTTGATAAATAATAATGGATCAGATGCTACTGCCTGTGTTAGGTTTGGTAGTTCAATATTCTTAACATCTAGAGTGAATCTATAAGAACAGAGATATCAGTTCTACCCTATGGGCTAATTCTGAGAGAAATACAGTAAGAAAATATGAGATATCCTCTTACTCAAAGAATTTGTAATTTTTGAAGAGGAGACAAGACTCACACAGAACATTTGGAATAATGGTAATACCTAACATTTGACAAGCATTTTATAGTTTTTTATTTCCTATTTTTAAAAATTTAATGCTTATTAACAATCTTCTGAAATAGATGGGAACCAGTGTCATTCTTTCACACATAAGAAAATTGAGGCTCAGAGAGATTAACTGGTTTACCCAGGATCTCCCAGAAGACTGAATGTAATTAAATTCAAAACATAGAATAAAGATGTCTGAAGAAAAGTCAGAAAGGTAAAGTAGAATTATAATCAGAGTAATTGGAGAAGCCGTCATATAATTGGTGAGAATTAAGAGTTTACACAAAGTGTGTATGATTTCTATGGTTAGCGAAGAGAGAAGATGGCAGAAACTTGGATATGAGAATGAGGGAAGTGTTTTAAAAGTCAGTGACGGGCTTCCCTGGTGGCGCAGTGGTTGAGAGTCCGCCTGCCGATGCAGGGGACACGGGTTCGTGCCCCGGTCTGGGAAGATCCCACATGCCGCGGAGCAGCTGGGCCCGTGAGCCATGGCCGCTGAGCCTGCGCGTCCGGAGCCTGTGCTCCGCAGCGGGAGAGGCCACAGCAGTGAGAGGCCCGTGTACTGCAAAAAAAAAAAAAAAAAAAGTCAGTGACAACGTCCACTTTCAGGAAGATGGAAGAGATATACTTTTCCCTCTTCCTCACACTAAAGTGCAACTGGATATTAGTTATAAAATAAAATAAACATAAGAAAACTGAAACATAGAGGGAAGAAGGTAGACCAGCTAAGGACCTTGGGACCCAAAGAACAACATGGCAGTGTGTTGCTTGGGTTTCATTTTGCCGTATATGTCTTAGACTGGGTGCTGGAGAAGCAGATAACCCAGAAACACCAATGAGCACAGACAAACAATTCCCAAGAAAGGCCTGCTGTCTCTAGCCAGACAACCCAGAAAGGGGCAACATAGCAAGACAGAAAACTTTTAAGCAGTAGTCTTTCTACCGCAGCCAAATACCACAGAAAAAACTGTGGCCCCACCCACATCCATACCAGCAGAGGCTGAGAACCTATACTGTCACCCTCTCCAGGCTGTAATGAGATGCCCTACCCTCCCAACTGGGGTGGTAACAGAGAAGATTGAGTAGGGAGCTGTTACTTCCACTGCTACCAGCAACAAGGTATCCCTTCCTCTCCCCCACCACCCAGGGTAGTGTTATAAGTGGCCTGGAATTTCACTGCCATCCAGAGGTAAGCAAAGCCATATCATTGTGGGTGTCATTAAAGCCACCTGGGGAGCAATAATGAGGCACCCCTCCTCTTTCCAGCCAAAGAGATATCAGTGGAGGCTTGATTGGGGACTGGAAATCCCATCCCTGCCCATCAGTGATGAGGAGCCTCTTCTTTCAGACGTCATCAGAGGCCAAGGGGGAAACCTCAACTTCTGCTCCCACCTTGGAGTAACAAGATGGTATCCTCACTTCCTGTACCAAACAGGACAATTAAAACAGAAGCTTTAGAAAGGTCGACAGCTTTATAAGATAATACCTCAAATGATCACAAATCAATTGAAAATCACTTACCATACTAAACATTAGGAACACTTCAAATCAAATTTTAAAAGTCAATCAATAGAAATGCACATGAAGATGACAGAAGAGTTAGAATTGCCTAACAAAGGCTTTAAAGCATCCATCATAAAAATGCTTCAATGAGCAATTACAGATATGCTTGAAACATTTAGAATTTTTTAGTCTCAGCAAAGAAATAGAAAGTCAGAGCAAATAAACAAAAGGTATAAAGAATCAAATAGAAATTCTGTAAATTAAAAGTGCAAAACCAAAATGAAACTAGCAATGAATAGCATAAACAGCAGAATAACAGGAAAAAAAATCAGTGAACTGGAAAATAGAAAAGTGGACATTATTCAGTCTGAACAGCAGAGAAAATAGACTGAAAGAGAAAAAAGGAACATAACCTCACGTACAAGTGAGACAATAAAAAAAGATTTCACATTCTTACATGTTTCCTAGAAGAAGAGGAGAAAGAGGGCATAGCTGAAAAAGTACTAAAAAAAATAAAGTTTGAAAACTTCAAATACTTGACAAAAGATATAAACTTCCATAATTTAAGAAGTT